TCTGTGGAGGGGGAGGGATCGATGCCCTGCTGGGTTCCCAAAAGGAGACTGGGATGGCCCTGGGCTTTGGCTCCCCTCTTGTCGCATGCAGCCTCTGTCTCCCTTTGAAGCCTGACTCAAGAAAAGGCCTCATCTCCAGGAAGCTGTCCCTGACCCCAGAGAGCCTGGGATGGGCAGCCACTGCAGGAGGGTGAGGGACCGCAGCTGAGGCAGCAGCCATGCCCATCCCTCAGCCCCTGGCCTGGCCCCAGCCAGCCCCAGGTACCCTTCATGCAGGGTGTTCAGCCGCTCCATGTACTGGGCCACAACGTCCACGGCCTCTGACTCAGGCAGCTGGAGGTTCCCAGACACGTTGCATCGAAGGTCATTCCAGTCAGAGCGGAGAAGCTCAAAGTCCATGGCGCCCACGCTGAAGGTTCGCTGCCAGTTGATGGCATCCTCAGGCCAGGAGCCCCTGGGTGGGGCACCAGCCTCCTCCTCTTCACTGTTTTGGGATGTGGCAGTCTCCTCTGGGCCACCCTCAGCCTCCTCCGCCCCCATCTTTTCCCCTTGCTGCCTGGCCTGTGCCACCTCTGACACATGAAGGAAAGAGGTCACTGGCTCGCCACCCTCAGAGGAGGTGTTTGAGGCCAGGCCTGTGAGCCCAGTGGTCAGGTCCAGGACCCTCTGGGTGAAGCTGACTCTGGAGGTCCTCTGGAGAGCATCTGGGGACCTTAGAGCCCTGGCTGTGGTGGGACCAACTGTTGGGGCCCGATGGCCCGGAGGCTGGCGAAGCGCTCGCAAATTTACCCTCTGAAGGGGGCGGGGATAGAGAAAGATGCCAGGCAGTGGGGGCTGCCAGGGGCCGTGGGCTAGCCAGGGCCGGGGCCGTGGGGGCCGTGTCCGAGGGAGCCGGTGCTGCCCAGGGTGGACCCTTGTCACATACACTTTCTCTGCCTTCTTGGGTGATCGTCGGGCAGCACCCTGTGCAGGAGACCTAGGGGGTGGGGCCCGGCCCAGAAAGAGGGAAGTAGACAAGGCTCCGACATGATTCTGGGGTGTGGCTGGGGCTGTGTGGGCCCAGCTCAGGGCACGTGTTTGCCGGCTCTCCCTCCTTGGATGGGGGTGGGGGCTGCTCTTTATGGTCCCTTGGTGGTCCTGAGTGCCCCAGGGAGGAGGGGTGGTCCTGCTTGAGGAGGGCTGGGCTCCTGTGGGCTCTGGGCTATCCGCTTCCTCCTCCTCTTCCTCCTCCTCCAGGAAACCTGGGGAAAAGGGATGGCTAGTCAAGGAACTGCCTAGGAGTGGGAAGTCTGGCAGGACTCTGGCTGGGCACACTCACTGTCTGGATCAAGGAACAGGAAGGCTCCATGCCCTGTATCCTCTTCATCCTTGTCCTCTTCATCGTCCATCTTCATATATTTGTAAAACCCAAACCTGGAGAGGCAGAGGGGTCTAAGAAACCCCTTCCCTCCTCCCCTGGTTGCCCTTTGTAAGCCTGGCAGGACCCGGGCACCTGTCCCCCACCCCTATTCAGCCCCTGCCTGGCCCCGGTTAGCACCACCTCTCCAGGTACAATGGTGACTCCCGGTAGAAACACTTGTTACTAGTTTCCATATGTGTGAGTCGAGTGAAGTCATTGGGGTAAACAAAGGAGAGGTAGACCTGAAGGAGAGAGGGTCACAAAGGTCAGAGGTTAGAGGCAGGGATTCTCTTCCTGGAATGGCGGTGGAGGTTGAGGGAGAGGTCACTTACAAACTGTAGGCCCTGGTAGCGGGCGATGGGGAAGTCCTTGACCACATAGGTGGGGGCGTAGGCACAGGGTACCAGCACGTTCTCTAGATGGGATGGCTCCAACCTTGGTGCTGGGGGGGACGAGAGAGGGAGAGCGGTGGGTGACCCTTCCCCAGCCACTGTCCTCCCCCTCTCCAGCCCCAGCTCCTGCCCCTCCTCACTGAGGAAGAAGGTGTCCCGAGCATCAGGCCTCAGCATGTCTGCTCCTAGCTCCTTGGGCTGCGGGCCTGGCTTGGCCACATGGCTGGCCAGGGACTGGGGGACGTGGGCCACGTGATCCATCTTTAGGGTTGACTCATCTGGGGTGGAAGGGAGGACCCCTGAAGCCAGTGCATCTCCTTCTGGCCTCCTCTATCCAGGACAGGAGTGCGTCCATAGCCTGCCCTCTACCCGTGGCCAGGCATTCTCTCCCAGGACGGGCACTCTCCCTTGGGGTCTACCCCAGCCTGCAGACAGCCACCCCCAGACCTCTCCCACCTGTGTAGAGGGAGATGTGAGAGGAGCCGATGACCTCGAACTTCAGGCCGGGAAGAAAAACTCGCCACTGGGGAAGAAGGGGGTCAACATGTTAGAGCAGGGAAGGGAGGCTCTGGCACTCCTGGGGGACTGATGGACTCAGTACTCACCCCCACCTCCACATGGTCGGACCCCCGGTCATCCTGTTTGTGCAGCAGCTCAAAGTAGTACCGTCGGGAAGAAGATAGCCTGGAGTGGAGCGGGAGGAGAGACTGAGGGTCCTGCCTCCCCAAGGCAGCTAGGGGGAGCCTGTGGGTTCTGCCTGGGGGGGGGGGGAGACTGCTGGGGGGAGGGGAAGAGTGAGTGTCCTGCCTCCCCAAGGTGGGGGGGACCAAGGGTCCTGCCTCCTCAAAGCAGGGGAGAGGGAGACTAAGGTTCTGTCTGGGTGGAGGAGGGTGGGAAAGACTGGGGGTCTTGCCTGGGGTGGGGAGGGTGAGACTGGAGGTTCTGCCTGGGTGGAGGAGGGTGGGAAAGACTGGGGGTCTTGCCTGGGAGGGGGAAGGGTAAGACTGGAGGTTCTGCCTCCTCAAAGGGGAGCCTCTGGCTTGCTGGAAGCTGGAAGGGATTCACTTAAGGTATTCATAGAGTAAGCAGGATAACGGGTTTGAACCCAGGCCCTCAGATGCAAGGGGCAGGGACCCCCCCCACTTCACTGTGAGGATGGTTTTGTCTGTGCCCAGCAAGTCTGTGACAAGGAGGGGGTGCCCATCCCTGGACATCTGTGTGTCTGTCCATGGCTGGGAAGGGGTGGTCGGTCACTCACCGCTTTGGCTTGGACACTTGTGAGCTGAACTTGGTGAACTCCCCAGGCGCTGTCCACTCAGAGCCGGTCTAGAGAGGGGGGACACAAGGGAAGTAGGTCATTTGGGCCCCTTTTCTTAGTAGGGGGCAATGAACAGCCTTGAGGGCCTGACGCAGGGCCTCTGGCGGGGTGGGGGGAGGGGCCTCAAACATCATCCTTGATTCATGACTGGTTGGAAGTCATCTGGCCATTGTTTAAGACCCTGTAGCTACAGGGAGCTCACTACCTCCTGAAGCAGCCAGTTTCTGACAACCTTGACTAGCCACCAGGGACTTTCCTCTTCCCTGCTTGGATCCTAAGTCTGCCCTCCATGCCCAGTTGTAGTCCCCTCTCCCTGGAAGCAGTGGCTTCCATCCCTGAGGGCCCCTCTCTCCAGCCACCCCCATGGCCACCAAGCTTAGGGCAGCTCAGTTCTCTAGGGTGAACATGCCTTCCCCTCAGACTCAGGTGGCTTTGGCCTCAGACCCTTCACAGCCTGGACTTGGGAAGCTGATTTTTCACTTCTCTTCCAAGGATTGGGGATCTCCTAATGTGGGTTCCCCAAAGGTCCCTTGGGAAGGTTCCTGCCAGCTGCTGGGCCTGTGGAACCCAGATGCTTGGCTGGGCACAAGGCCCGCTGGCAGAGTCTTTCTGGCTTGGGAATGCTCCTGTACCTGGTCTGTGAGCAGTGGGGGGCTGGGTCTCCTCACCCCACCCCATCCCTGGGCCCAATTTCTCCTCTGGGGTGATCTTTGTGATAAGCCAGCAATCTATGCTTCTAACCAAGCCGTGGAGAAAAATGCTGAAATAAGCCCCGCCCCCTCCCAGAACAGAGCCTTGGGGCACATCACTGGAGAGCCACTCCCCAGCTCCAGCTCTGGTGGGAATTTCTGGGCCGTACCTTGCCCACGTAGGCCACGAGTTGGGCACCTGCTGGGCTTTCATCTGGGCTCAGCCAGAACTCAGAGTTATCATCTGAGGCCACAGAGAACTGGACATCACCTAAGGACCAGGCAGGGGCAAAGAGTCAAGGCTGGCAAAGAGTTCTGACCGGTCTCAAGGCTCAGGGAGACTCAGTGATTCGGGCCCAGATCTCCACGTCCCCCAGGCTCTCCCATCTCCCACTCTTGTTGAGATTCCAGCAGGAACCCATACCAGGGCGTCCTGGAGTTGGTTACAGAAGGATGTGCCCCCTTCCCTCCAGACCTCCCCCAGCACCCTTCCCCCATACCATCTCTGCTGGGGTGGATATAGCCAAAAATCCGCAGTCCATAATTCTTCCACTTGGGTGACACAGCCAATTTCTTCACAGTAGTTCGGGTCTGGGGAGGGCCGGGGGGGAGGGGTGGCAAGCTGGCCACTTCTTGATCCCAGGGCCCGCTCCTTCCAATGCCCCCCATACTAATGCTCCCCACAGACTCTCCCAACCTTCAGCCTCTGATCTTCATCTCCAGCCTTCCTCCAGTGTCCTACATCCTCCCCCAATAACTTCTTGACCTCTGGTCTCTACCTCCAATCCTGCCTCCCTGTTCCCCTGCAACCTCTTCAGCCCCCCAATGTTCCCCAGTCCTCTCAATCTCCCTTCCTTAGACTCTGGTCCAGTGCCCCTCCCCTGGCCCACTGCCCCCACCTTACCTCCCTCCAGGTACACACTCACATGGGGAAACAGTGGGAAATGAAGATTCTTTCTCAGGCTCCCCACAGTGGCCCCACACCAGTCCTCAAACACGTGCAGGTTAACCTTCCCCCTGTACTGTGTGTGCAAAAGGCCCATGGACCTGTCATACTGAGTCTAGCAACCAGTGAGGGCTGGGGTGTGAGTGGTAGCCTTCTCCAAGCCTTCTCCCCCTGCCCCCAGCTCACCTCCTCCTGCCACAGGGGGACCTGGTGGGTGAGGTTTAGGGGGGATGACCTTCCCGTCTGGCCAGAGAAGGTGCTTAGCTCCCGACCCTCCACCTGCAGGAGAGATTGTGACAGTGTGGAGATGGGGGAGGGGGTGGGAGGGAGACACCCCCCTCCCCCCCACCTGCTTGTTTTTCAGGACCACTTACCAGCTGGTCTTCCTCATGACTCTCACTGGAGTCTTCCAGTCTCTTGGGGGGGGACACGACCTGGGGTCCCCCCACCCCTTTCCCAGCATCTGTTACCTCACTCAGCTTCTCTCCATCTGCAACGGCAGCACATGGGGGAAATGTTGCATGGCCCCCCATGAGAGACGAGGCTCCCCAGACCTCCCCCACACCTGCTTCCTAGGTCGGGGGGCTGGGTCCCAGGCCTGCAAGCTCTCCTGATCTCCCCAAGTCCCTGATCCCCAACACAGAAGAGCCCTGCCAGGGAGTCAGGGGTGGGTGGGAAAGCACGGGGAGAGGCAATAGTGATGACCCATCTCCCACAGTCTGCTGCTATGAGGGATGCACCCCGAGTCTCAATAATGTAAACCCAAGGGCTTGAAACTGAAGAGAAGGAAGAGAAAACTTCCTGCGTGCACTCCAAAGTTAGCTTTTGCAGATGGCTGGATCAGAGATCCTCCAAAGGCCTCAGGGTGGGGGGGCGTACAGCCAGCCAGGCCCAAACACACAGGCTGCCCATTGTCTCTCGGGGTCACAAACCAAAGGAGGCAACTTTGATTTGAACCCACAGCACTGGGAGATCAGGGGGGTCAGGAGGCTCCGCATGGGACTGTGGCTCTGGGTGGGCAAGGACATATTTCAGGTAGGAAACCCGGGGGTCACAAACACACAAGGTGTATTTGTCATCAGATTACATGAGAGACTACTCAGACAGTAGGGGAAACAGAGAAGGGGCCCTTGGGGTGCCATAGGAGTAAGGGGGGCTTCAGTGATCCAGAGCCCTTTGCCCAGGGGAGAGCAGCGTGTCTCTCACTAAGGGGGGGGGCTGCCTGCTCAGAGGGAAATGATGGGATGCTTGGTGGGAGGGGGTGTGATGATTCCATGGAAGAGTCTGGGCTGCAGGAGAGGTGGGCCGGATACAGCCACACACGAGACCCCCAGATTTGGGGAGAACGGGCTTCCAAGGGTTCAGAGAAGGGAGCATGGAGACCCCTTGGCCAGTCTGACAAAGGGGAAGCCAGCCCAGGAGAGAGGAGAATCAGGAGTGAAATTCTGAAGGGCCCAAGAGGACGTTTCACTGAGGAGAAGCAGGGCTAGGGAGGGGGCATCTCCAAAGGCCGACCTGCTGGTGGACACTGACAGAAGGCAGAAGGCAGCTGGGAGGGCCAGTAGGAGAAGAAAGCTCTAGGATGGGAGCCAGGGCTGGGGAACCTGAGAGGCCACACCAGGGATGATGGAGGGACTGTGCACATAGTAAGGGAGAAGGGCTTCCCTCTGCCAAGGAGTGTCTGCAGGAAGGATGGTCCAGTGTAAGAGGACCTGGCTGCAGACCTCACCTCTGATGCTCACTGCCTGGTTGGCCCTGGGTCAATCGCCTAATCTCTCAGGGCCTCAGTTTCCTCATTCTGCCAAATAAGGAGGTGGGAGAGGATGACCTTTGAAGTCCCCTCCAGCTCTAGGACCCGGACTCAGCCTTGAGACCCCACACATCAGTGCTGCCCCTCCCTGCATCCTCCCACAAATTGGTCCCTCTGAATGTCTGGACCTCCCCTCGATGGCTCCTCCTGGCTTCCAGAGAGCACCTGCCAGTCAAAATACTCTGAGGCCTGAGGCCTGAGGGTTGGCCAAAGAGAGAGCCTTCCAGGTCTGCCTAAGGCTGGAGAGCACATACATGCCAGGTGAATCGGGGAGAGGCATGCATCTAAACCCAGGAAGGGCTGGCCCCTGCTAACTTTCCTACAGGCCAGTCCTACCAGAGTGGAGTCAGATTTTACACTGGTTAGGAGGTCCAGACTGAGAGAGGTCACACAGGTGGACAGTGTGCATGGCACCATGTTGAAGAAGAGAGCTGCCAGCTGGGCCCAGTCCCCCTCACTGCCCTTCAAGCCTCCCTGCTGCCTGAAGATGGGCCCCACATTAGTGGAGTGACTGCTCTTCACACACTTCAGGACCAAGCCTGGACCCCTCCACTGGGATGCCTGTCTGCATCTCAAACTGGGCAGATACCACACTAGGCACCTTGTCTTCCACCCACACCTGTCCTGAATTCCAGCCCAGCTGCCTGACCATCCAGTCTGGCAGCCTCAGTGGCAGCATCCCAGTACGTCAGGCGGCGGAGCCTAGCCCTCCTGTTACAGACCGGGGGGAAAAAACTTGCCTAATGAGTCAGTCACATTCCTCCCTCAGGTCCTTGCTTCTGCTTCATCTTGTCAGCCCCTTCTGGGGGACAACACACAGAACCACCACCCTAGGTAGATCCTCATCTCCTCTCACCTCGACTACTGCAAAAGTCTCTGAATTGGGCTCCTCCAGGCTTCCACACTTTCCCTTCCAATCCATCCTCCACACAGCTAAGGCACACTTCTTATCTCTCTGGATCCCACTACCTACAGGATAAAACGCACACTCCTAATCCTGGCATTCAAAGCCCCTGACCACTTGCCCCTCCTTCCTCCATGCCTTCACAGCCCCCATCTCCAGACCTATGGCAAAGTGGCCAATGTGCCTCTATCCTCCATGGCACCCAGTGCAGAGGGAAGAAAGGTGAGGCAGAGCATCTGATGGGAGGGAAAGGTCAATGTCGGATGGAAGGGGCTGATGGGCTCTTTGGCTCTGGCTCTCTGATTCAGCACTTCCCCAGGTTGGTTTCCGGGGAGTGATGAGCAGATGCTGAGGTTTTAACTTCCCCATGTTTCTGAGAAACTTGCTGTCCTTGTTCTATACCTCCCCACCCCCATGATCCTGTGGGACCCTTACCTCACATTGAGCCCAGCTACCTGCTAGAGAAAGGGGGTGGGGCTGAGTCCTCAGAAACAGGAGAATAATGGCTTTCCCTTTGGGGAGCTGTCTGGTATTCCCACTCCCCTTGCCTGGAAAAAACTCTTCTGGGCTACCTCATCAGAGGCTGTCCTCTTCTCTCAATTCACCGCCACCTTCCTTGCTCAGGCCTTAGCCTGTACAGTCTCCTCACTTACACTCTGGCCCCCTCTTCAGTACATCCTGCATTCAGCCACCAGAGTTCCCTCCTAAAGCAGTGGCTCTACTCCAGAACATTCATTGGCTCCCTATGGCTACCAACCTAAGGCATAACTGTGCTCGGCTTGAAAGGGCTTTCCACTCCAGCCCCTGCCAAGGTGTTCTGCATACATTCTACTTTCCAACTACTGCTCCCCAGACCAGGCACCTCATCTCTTGCCTCTGTCTACATGACAGTTCCCCATGTCTGTATACACACTATCTTCACCTTGGCCTCTTCCCCAGTCTGAGGCTCAGCTTAGGGAATGACAACTCACAGGGGACTTCCCCAACACCCCTGCTTTGTCAGACTCTCACCCACCACAAGTATCCTTGTATTTACTTGTCTCGTGAATGTCTGCCACCCCAGAGACTGTTTTGTTATTGTAAAACTAGATCTTAGTAGGGGACTTTTCAAAGATGTGTGTATGTGTGTGTATGTGTGTGTGAGCGTCACACACTACCTCGCTGAAGCAAGTGTGGCCCCAGCCCTTGGAAGGAAATCTGAGTGGGGGGAAGGGGCGAGGTCCTAGATACTTCTGGGGAGCTCCTTTCCCATTCTGGGAGTCCTCAGCTGCAATTTCATGCCCAGACTGCTTGGCCCTGCCCTCACCAGATGTCAAGCCTCAGTTTCCAATACACAACCTTGGGATGAAAAGATGCCACAGAAGGATGCTGCCTCAGTATTGGGCCAGGGACAGTGACCTCTCCCTTGCTGTTCACCCACTGAAGAGAGAACAGAGAATCCCTTACATGGCCCCAGGGACTCAGTATTGTATCAGACCCAGTGGGCACAGGGCCCCAGAAGGAGGCGCTACTGGTTTCAATCATATTCTCAATGCGTTCTGATGAGAGGGCTAGGCGCCTTCTTGCCCAGCACCCAATGGACGAGCCGCTGAAAGCCAGTGCTGACAGGTGGAATGAGGGGAGCTGAAAGACCGAAGTCTGAACAGGCAGGCAGAGAACACAGAGTTGGCCAGTATCCACAGCTGGGGATCAGGGAGTAGGGAACCATTGATGGTCTTAGAGTGCGGAGAGACAACGGTCGGAACCGTGCTTTTTCTGAGTGGAAGATGGACACCCCCACAGAACAAGGGAGTTAGGAATACCAGAACAAGGAAAGCTCCATCTGTGCTCTGTCTAGACAGACATCTCTAACACAGTGGGTTTCAGTGGTTCCCTTCCCCGTCCTAACACTGGCCTGCCTTGGAGTGACCTTTGTCTGTCTCTTGCCTTGTCCTAATGGGTTTTGAGATCTTCCTAACTAAGACCCCAAAGGCCCCCCCCACATCCTTAACCCTTTCCTCCCCAGCTACTTCCTGAGGTGAGGCTATCAGTGTGCCATGACCAAGCCGCTCCCCCGCCCAGGTTATCAGGCGGATCCAAGGCCCTAAGGGTGTGTGGAGGGGAAACTGAGGCAGCTAGGGGACCCTACCTGGGCCGGAGCCTCCACTGAGGCGCAGCCGAAGGGCTCGGCCCTGGCGCACGAGGCTCAGGTGCAGATAGGTGAGCCACGCGGCACAGGTCAGCAGCACGAGCAGCAGCAGTAGGCGGAACTGCTTGCGAAGCTTCTTCACTGGGAACCGCAGCATGGTCAGGGTTGGGGTCCGAGCTGGCCCGCCCAGGGCTTCCTGGGCCTGCCTGCCCTCCTGCCCTCCCTCCCTCCCTTCTGGTCTGGCAGTCCTTAGCTGCCTCGGCCTCCAGGCACCACCAGCCTCATGCTCCCCGGGCCCTGGGCAGGGAAGGGGCGGGCAGGGCTGGAATGGACTAAGCTGGGCAGAGCCCGAATGGGCCGAGCGGGCAGGGATGGACTGGGCAGGGATGGATTGGGAAGGGCCGGCGTTCCCTCCGTCCCTCCTTCCTTCCTTCTCATTCCAGGGACAGCCAGGCCCAGGCCCAGACCCACTTCAGCGCCCACTAACTGGCGCCCGGGCCAGGGCTTCGTGCATCGGGCAGGGGGCCGGGGCTCGGGGCCAGCGCATGGATCCTTCCTTCCTCCTCTTCCTCCTCCTCTTCCTTCTCCCCTTCTTCTTTCTCTCTCCTCCCGCTCCTTCTCCCCCCTTTCTTCTCCTTCCTCCTCCTCCTCGTCCTCCCCCCTCCTCTCCCTTCCCCCCTTCCTCTCCCTCCTCTTTCTCTTCCTTCTCCTCCTCCTCCTCCTCCCTGCCCGCCTTTGTCCTTCGCAGCCACCCGAGATGGGGCTTCCCAGGCGGGACTGGCTCTGAAGCCTTAGCCCCGGGGGCCCCGGCTGCTTTCCTGCTGTTGGAGCCGGGGCCGGAGCTGGACCGAGAGTAGCGGCAGCAGAAGCGGCAGCAGCGGCAGCAGCAACAGCAGCGGCCGCGCTGCGATGCTACCCACCGTGAAACGGGCCGCGGGCCGGCCGCCGGTGCTAGGCCAATCACCGACCGCCTTCTCCAGAGGAGCCAATGGGCTGCCAACGGAGGCGGAGCCCGCAGGGGTTAGGCTGCACCTAGCGTTCATCTCCACGCCAACGCGCAAACATCCACCTGGCGGACGGAACCATCGACAGCCCGGCTAGGGTGGGGAGATCTGACAGCTTGGCCTCCTGTGGCTCGGATCTCGTGCCCCTGGGCCCCGGACGTGGCAGGCAGAGCGGATACTACCTGAGTCCGTGGGGCTGTGCCCCTCTGTGGTGGCGGGCCTGGGAGCAAGACGGCCAGGATGCGGGGAGGGATCTAAGCTTCCCCCCTCGTCAGGGATGGTCCCTCCCCGGCAGGCCTGAGGGGCGGTGGCTGCGGGCGGGTGGCGGGAGGGATGCTGAAGCTGGACCAGGGAGGAGGGAGAAGGATGGAGGATGCTGTTAGCTACCGGCAGGCCTTTCTAACCTCGGCCGGGCCAGGAAGCCTCTGCCCGGGGCCAAACCGCTTCCCCTCAGCATGCCCGGGATTTGGTGATCGTGACCCCCCGTTTATGCGTGTGTACCGGCAGGGAACCGGTACCGTCTCAGGAGCAGCCCTAGGCTTCAGCACGTGTACGGATGTGTGCGTGGGTGTGCGGGTCTGTGCGGAAAGTGTCCATGTGCAGCTGAGGCTATGGAACCACTGGCAGTGGGGTGAGCCTGCCAGGCTCAGGACCAGAGGGACCTGAATTCATGGGAAAAGCTCATCTAGGTCCCCTGACCTAGGGCATTTATTGCAATCAACACGTCAGAATCCCTGCCATGTACTAGGTCTGGAGTTTCCACCTCTACCAAGGAGATTCCAAGGGTAACCCTTGTCCCCTAGCCCATGCCCTGGGCACTCTGCTGGGCGTGGGACTTACACAGAGGCCCTGCCCTCGGGAGATTCCATTCGTCAGGGCTCGTCTATGGGTAAGCAAACACTCAGCACTTTGAGGAGAGGAGACAAAGAAGGCCAGGTAAGGCCCCCAGTGGGAGGGGGCACACAGCCTGAACCTTGAAGGAAGAGAAGGGTTTCAACAGGTGGAGAGAGAGATGCTTTGCGATCTGTCCTGGATGAATTCAAGGAGTCATTGTTAAGCACCTGCTACATCTCAGTCACTGAGAATACAAAGCAAAAAGAAAAGCAAAAGGGGCAGCTAGGTGGCGCAGTGGATAGAGCACTGGCCCTGGATTCAGGAGGACCTGAGTTCAAATCTGGTCTCAGACCAAACACTTGACACTTACTAGCTGTGTGACCCTGGCAAGTCACTTAACTCCTCAAAACAAAACAAAACACAAAGCAGTCCCTGCCCTCAATGAGGATGCATTCTTTGGTTGTGTGTGTGTGTGTGTGTGTGTGTGTGTCTGTGTTCGAGGTAACAGAGAGAAAGACACAGAAAAAAAATAAATACAGAGAGAGACAGGATTAGACACACAAGGAGATGGCTGTGTCTGTGATACACCGCTTACAATATGTCAGGCTCTGTGCTAAGTTTGGGGCATATAAAGAAAGGCAAAAGCATGGTCTCTGCTCTCAAGGAAGTCACAGTCTAACGGGGAAGACAACACTCTGACAGCTATGTACAAACAAACTCTGGACAGATAAACTGGAGATAAGCAGCAGAGGAATAGTACCAAGACTAAGAGGGATTGGAAAGACTTCTTGTATATGGCAGAATTTTAGTTGGGACCTGAAGGAAGCCAGGGAAGCTGAGAGATGTAGATGAGGAGAGGGAGTGTTCAGCCTGCTGCTTGGTCACTGAAAATGCCTGAAGTCTGCAGGTGGGGAGTCTTGAGTGAGAAACATAGAGCAGTCCAGGGTGACTAGGCCATAGAGAGAGAGAGAGAGAGAGAGAGAGAGAGAGAGAGAGAGAGAGAGAGAGAGAGAGAGAGAGAGACAGAGAGAGAGACAGAGAGAAAGTATAGTGCATGAAGACTGGAAAGGGAGGTGGGCAGTAGGTGATGAAGAGCTTTGAGTGTCAGAAGGTTTTATATGTGACCTTGGAGGTGATAGGGATCCACTGGAGTCTGTTTAGGAGGTGACTTGGTCAGCCCTGCACTTTAGAGAGATCATTTTGACAACCAAGTGGAAGATGGTCTGGATTGAGGAGAGACTGAGGCAGCTAGTGCAGTAATCCAGGTGTGAGGTGATGAGCTCCTGAACCAGGGTGGAGACAGGGCCAGAGGTGAAATTGACGGGCCCTGTCAACAGATTGCATTTGGGGGCCAGGGATGGAGGTGAGGATTTGGGATGCCAGGCTGGGTGATGTGGAAGTTAGGAAGAAGGGAGGGTTTAAGGGGAAAGACAGTGACCTGGTGAATTGAATATGTCTGCTGGCTGTCCACTTTGAGATGTCCAAAAGGCCATTGAGAGGTCTGAAAGGGAGACTGAGGTCAACAGAGAGATTAAAGTAGGAAAGATAGATGTGGGCATCATCAGCATAGAGATGGATGGTCACAACATCCATGGGAGCTGAGGAAATCACCCAATGAGGTGTTATAGAAGGAGAAGAGCAGAGGGCCCAGGACAGAACCTGAGGGACCCTCACAGTTAGTGGGCATGATATGGGTGAAAATCCAGCAAAGGAGACAGAGGAGGAGCGGGCCGAGAGGGAGGAGAGAGCCAGGGCAGGGAGAGGGGTTCTTGAAAACTCTAGAGATGAGTATTGAGAAGAGGGTGATAGACAAAGTCAAGGAGGATGAGAATGGAGAAAAGGCCGATGCATTGGGCAATTAAGATATCCTTGGGGGACACCTGTGGGGAGGGCAGTTTCCATTGAATGATGAGGTCAGAAGGCAGACTGTGGAGAGTTAAGAGGAGAGTGAGAGGAGAGGGAGCAGAGGCACTGAGTGTAGATTAGTGGAGGCATCCAAGTGTAGACAGCCTTCTCAAGGAGTGTAGCTATAAGAGGAGGAGAGAGAAAATGATAGATAGTGGAGATGGATGGATCTAGTGTGGGTTGGGTTTTTTTTTTTTTGAGGACGGGGAAGACGTGGACATGTTTGTAGCAGCGAGGAAGCAGCCCGTGATCAGGGAAAGATTGAAGGTTGGGGTGACAGAGCTGACAGTCTGCTGGAGGAGCCAGGATGGATTGGAATTGCTAGTGTCCTGATCTAAGTCTGGCCTTCTCAGTGTGTGTCTGAAGTGGGCGAAGAACTGGGAATTTAGGGTGTTGGAGGGATTATTAATATGGACATTGAATGGCTGATACAGAAATGTTTTGCAAGACTTCACATGTATAACTGGTAGAATGCTTGTCTTTTGTCTCTTGGTGGGGGGAGGGGCAGGAGGGAGGGAGAGAATTCTGAACTCAAAATGTAAAAAAAAAAAGACTTAAACAAATAAATAAAAATAAATGAAAAAATATTGAGGTCCCTAGTACTGGGAATGTGGGGTGTAGGGATGTTCAGAGACCAGCCCCATCTACCTTTGGTCCACCTGCCACCCAACTCTCATCTGTGGCTCCAAGAAGCCATGGCCGGCGCAGTGGCCATGCCCAGGAAAGCCGTTTGGGCAGACCAACTAAACCAGGTGGAGAGTAACAGCGTGGGTAAGTTGGGGGTGTGTCTGCCACAAGTATGTGAAGACACCCCTTGTCAGAATGGGTGGATGAGAACAGCTTGCTGGGTGGCCATGGAGGCAGCTGATGCAGCACTATGGAGCGCTCCCAGCTTGGTCAGACATGGAAGGCTCCAAGGTCATCCACTGCACTCTGGGGCATCACCAGTCTTGACTTTTGTCCTGCCATTGGACTGTGATGATTCAGAGAGAGTGAGGCGGACAATTTTGTGCAGCTCTGCCTCCCTTCAATCCAATTTATGCCATATCATTTTATCTTTACAGCAAATGGGGAAGTTTTGAATGCTGTGGATGAGTCCACTTACCTTGGCAGTGCACTTTCCAGACATGTTCACATTGAGCTCGAGTCACCAGAGCTAGCTTGGGTTTGGGAGGCTTCAAAGGAAAATGTGAGACAGAAGAGGGATTAGACTGACCACCAGCTGAAGGTCTACAGAGCCGCTGCACTGATCTCGTTGTATGCCTGTGAAACAGGACAGCCTACCAGCACCATGCCAGGAAACTGAATTGCTTCCATTTGAATTTGTCTTAGGAAATTCTGACCATCACCTGGCAGGAGAAGATACCTGACACTGAGGTCTTTTCTCAAACTGAACTGCCAGGCATTCAAACTCTATTGCAGGCAGTGAGCCCAACTCTGATGGGCTGGCCATGTTTGACTAAAAGGCTATTTCACAGAGAACTCACACAAGGCAAGTGCTCATATGGAGATCAGAAATGATACAAAGATACTTTCAAGGTCTCTCTGAAGAACTTTGGAATCGATTGGGAGACACAGGAGAGAGACCCTGGCACAGGACCATCCACGGTGGTGTGTCCCCATCAAAGAAGGAGCTATGCTAAAATGATTAATGCAGAAATGTTTTGCATGGTTTATCTTATATCAGATTGCTTACTGTTCTCAGGGAGGAATAGAATTTGGAATTCAGAACTTAAAAAAAGAATGAAAAAATGTTTTTGCATGTCATGGGGGAAAATAAAGTATGTTTTTAAAAGGAGGCATTGTGCTCTATGAGCAAAGCAGAATTGCAGTAGCTCAAACGTAGCATGAGATGTGCAAATTTAGAGCCATCTGCCATCC